TCTTTGGAAACACAGTGGTTTAACTGGTTTGTAAACAGAAGACTCTGGCTAAGTGCTTTGATCCAACTCTCCTATTTCTCTTGGAGTTTTATGTTTTCCAGGTCCTTATATGTTTTTTTCCCAAATTCAGATTTTATTCTTTGCAAATAATATCTTTGTAATTCAGTGAATGAATAACTACTGTTTTTTAATTATTTAAAACATAGATAGCATTTCCTGATTCCATTCAGTTTAACTGTCATATTTTTTAAAAAGCTATAATTATAGATACTTGACTCGTGCAGAATAACACCAATCATAAGGACATTGTTCTGGTTTTGATTTCAAAGCAATCTTGAGCAAGACTCCTTTGAATTGGAACATGAGTCAGCATTTAGCAAAGCTGAGTTTAAACCTATACTCCAGATTCTAAGTGACAGAGAACTTCAAAGTAGGGCACTGTTTGTTCATAGTTTTAGGTATCTGTGATTTACTTGGCTTTGTTAGACAATAGGAGCTTTGGTTCTGTTATATTTTTAACATTCCTTAAAATAAGTCAGAGTGTTCCCATTTTGGATGTGGATTAGTATGGCGGAGGAAGTGAAGCACTTACAAGAGCTGAGTATCCAGGGATTACGTGTGCTCTGTGCTGGATTGCCTTGGTTAATATTTTTTTGGTTGCATGTAATAGAAACTGGCTCTGGCGAGCTTAAGGGGAAAAAGTAAATGGTGCTGGCATATTAGAAGAATATTTGGTTATCTCATAGAATCCAAGACTCAGGAAAGACAGGGATCAAGAGACTTCTGACCTCAGAGTTCCTGTCTGTCTCCCTAGGGGAAAGTAGTTGGAGTGTCTTAGCCTATGACAGGAGGCCCAGTTGGGATCAGACCTTCATCTGCGGATTAGTCAATCAAGGTCAGAGGGGCAGAATTATACTGTTTAGCCAGTTGTTTGTGGGCTACCACACCTGTACTTTGTGGGCAATTCCCAGAGAAAGGGGGAATTACTGTGAACTGGTAGCCACACCAGCGAGGTCTACCATGTGGGGTATTTTACAGGCTTAATTTAATTTGCGCAAAAAGCCTATAAAAGTCACTATTTCCACCTCACAAATGAGAAAATTGAGATGCAAAATGGTTAGGCAACGTGTCCAATGTTCCACAATTAGCATGTGGCAGACCTAGAATTCCAACTAAGCTTCGAAGGGGGAGGGGAATATTCTTCTCTTAAAGGATTCATGTGATAAAAGACTATCTGAGATAGAAACTTTGAGATATTTTCTCATGGAGAAAATGTTAGGTATCTCCAGAGTACTAGAAAGAGTGAAACTGAGTGTTGAAAGCTCTGGGGTTGAATCCCAGCTCCACCCTGCCATCATGGGCAAGTAAACATCTAATCCTATCCACTCATAAATGCTGAAATATCATCTACTTCACAAGGCTATTTTAACTTCACAGGGTTGTTGAGACAACATGTGAAAATACCTGGCACAAAGCAGAAACTCATTTTTTGGTGGGGGAAAGAACTTTTCTATAAATGAATCCTTAAGTATGCTACCAAAACCGAGTCACAATTTGAGATTGGCTTTCTCACTCAAAAAACTGAATGGCTATCCTACTCTCACCTTTCAAGATGACACCTTCTTCACCTAAACATAACAGTAGGAAATGCTACAGACAAAAGTTAAGGAAATCATACAATAGGCAAAGAAAATTTTACATTCAAAACATTTGACTACTTTGCTTTAAGACTTTGAGCTCACATTGCAGGAAAAAAACTCTTACTTCCGGTCATAGCATATACTTAATCACCCAATTCTCTTAGTAAATACTACCGGAGGCGGTAGGATAACCAGAGCAAAAGGTGACTTCAGTTCTGAATGTGGTAATCTCTGAACATCATTAGCTAATTTGGTTTGGAACGATTAATGTATTCAAACATTCTAAGCCCAGATGATAATTCTCAGTTACCTTTAAGAGCAGCTCTGTGGGAAAGCAAGCACCACAACACCCGAGAGTTTATTATTGTGCACGGTGGGTGTTCTGCACATACTCAGAGACTGATTGGTATTAATTTGTTCCAAATTACTTCAGACAACAATTAGTCTATGTCAACAGTGAAGTTGGGAGCTTAAATGAAAGAAGAAAAAAAATCTTTCTGTGGTGGTAGGGATGAAAGAGAGGTGTGGACTATTATATTCTCTTGATGTTTCCATTATCTCTGGATCTTAGTCTCCCTGGATCTTAGCTTGTGACCTTTGATGCTGCTTCATTTTCATATGAATCATATCTGAGTTAAGTTGTAAAATACCCTATCATTTTAAATTTGATGACAAATGGTCAAGTGGTTTTAAATATGACCATAACATTGTTATTGTTCCAAAATTAAACGCCTCTTCCATATTTTTTAAATATATATTTTTATTGATTTCAGAGATGGAAGAAGAGGGAGAGATAGAAACATCAATGATGAGAAAGAACCATTGATTGGCTGCTTCCTGCATGCCCTAATTGAGTGAGCAATGTAGGCATGTGCCCTGACCGAGAATCGAACTGTGATCTTCTGATTCATAGGTTGCTGCTCAACCACTGAGCCATGCCAGCCAGGTGCCTCTCCTATTTTTTCTATGCTGCAATTCAAGTCAGTGGCCTGCTTGCCTTAATTCCTCATTTAAATTTGTAAGAGGAAACTAGTTATTCACATTTAAAGATTTTTAGTAAATATTGTAAATATTTAGGGCAAGCATGTCAAACTCAAAGGCTAACATGGGCCAAATAAACAAGGTTTAAGTTTATGTGGGCCACAAAAAAAAGCTTCAATTTTCATAGAAATGCAAGTTTATTTCGATAGAGACATGCTGAACACAAAGGGCTGAAATAAATGAGTAATTGTTAATGTTATAGTTATGATTGTATTAGTATGTAGTGACCCCCGTATTTCAATATTAAGTTGTAACCCTGTGTGAGACCCCCAAGACCTGAATATACTTTCCTAAATGAGTGAACGCCCAGAACTTGTACCCTAGACCAGCGGTCGGCAAACTGCGGCTCGCAAGCCACATGCCGCTCTTTGGCCCCTTGAGTGTGGCTCTTCCACAAAATACCACGTGCAGGCGCACATGTACAGTGCCATTGAAACTTCGTGGCCCTGCTCAGAAGTCAGTTTTCGGCCTGGGTGAGTCTATTTTGAAGAAGTGGTGTTAGAAGAAGTGGGGGGTGTCGGTCGGTCGGGCGTCGGGAGACAGGGCGCAGGCGGGCCGAGGGATACGCAGCGCGGGGGAGGCGCAAACGATTCATGTACGAGTTGAGTGAGCCAGTCAGCCAGCAGTCTCATGGTGCAGTGGTTAGTGCTAGTCGCGTCCGCAAATCACGCGCGGGTGACAAAAGTAAAGTTTATTAAGTTAATTTTAGGGAATGTTGTGGAGTGAAAGAAGATGTAGTGTGAGGATTGAGAAAGGTATGTTGAGATGGTTTGGACATATAGAGAGGATGAACGAAAGGAGATAGACAAAACAAGTATACAAGACGAGTGTGGATGGAAGAGTTGGAAGGGGTCGACCTCAGCGAATGTACCTCAATCAGATTGAGGACGTTTTTAGCAAAGGCCAGCTTAGGAGTACCCTAATTAAGTCAATAACAATGTACCTACCTATATAGTTTAAGTTTAAAAAATCTGGCTCTCAAAAGAAATTTCAATCGTTGTACTGTTGATATTTGGCTCTTTTGACTAATGAGTTTGCCGACCACTGCCCTAGACCATATCGCACCAGTACAGCACACCACAGCCGCAGCCACCAATAAGGACCATCGTGTTTACTCGACCACATACAAACCCCGGACTTTTGACACACAGTGTCTCCTGCCCCAAGAGAGGAGGACTCCGCATAGCTCTGTGAGAGGACCCCGAGACTCTCCGCCAAGACCAAGCCGCTGCTGCTCCCATCTTCATCCTTGTCGGTGTGCATCGCCCGGTGGCTGCGCTGGTGCTAGGATCCACTAGGAACCGGTAATAAACCCCTGTGTGATTGTATACTAATGTCTGTCTCTGTGCGTTGATGTTTATGACTTGGCTTGGTTGCCTTAGGCCTTAAAGACCCAAGGGGAACGCCATTATCGCTGACCCTCGGACACCTGCGCTTGCGCCGACCAGGCTAAGGCAGAATAAGTAATTAATAGAATTTGGGGTCAACTGGGACAGTTAACATACAATAACAGAACATTTTAATAAAAATTAATATTTTTTCTTGAACATTAACTTACCAGACACTGAATAACTGCACAAATTAATAAGAGTAAGACAAATAAACCTACTTTTCTTGTTCTCTGAAAGCGAAATATTTCCTGTTGCGCACACCAAACAAGTCAGTACAAGACTAATGACGTAGCAATCGGCTGCTAAAATATTCCCTGCTGGTATTAGTGGAGAGAAATGGTGCGCCTGCGTGTAAGGCGCATAAGGGAAATGAATGCAACATGATTATAGTAATCAGTCATTAGCGAACATTGTAGTTATTAATAATTATGTAACAGGATATTATAAAAATTAAGTTAGGAAATTTTTATTAAAACGTTTCTTACATACTGTTATATTGGCTGGGCCACAAAAATATTTGTGTGTTTGACATGCTTGATTTAGACAGTGGTTCTCAACCTTCTGGCCCTTTAAATACACAAAAATATTCGTGTGTTTGACATGCTTGATTTAGACAGTGGTTCTCAACCTTCTGGCCCTCTCATGTTGTGACCCAACCATAAAATTATTTTCGTTGCTACTTCGTATCTGTAATGTTGCTACTGTTATGAATCATAATGTAAATATCTGATATGCAGGATGGTCTTAGGCAACCCCTGTGAAAGGGTCGTTCGACCGCCAAAGGGGTCACGACCCACAGGTTGAGAACCGCTGATTTAGGGTGTATGTTAAAAAATCATCATCCATGGATATATAAGTTTGAGTAAGGATTTTTTTTTTAAAGGAAGAAAGAATTAACTTAAAAAAGAAAGGCTAAAAAATGACCAAATAAGTTTCTGAAGTTCTTTTTATTACACTGATGAGTCCCATAAAAGTACAAAGCCCACAAAAGTAGAAGCATTTCAAAAACAAGACAAAATGTTTGCATAATTTTAATGACAACATTGAGTTTTGATGTTAAAAAAAAAAACCTCATGATTCTGCATTGAAGCACACTGCTCATGAATTAAGTACATTCTGAAATTCTGGGAAAGAATTTCATATCTCTTATTTGAGCCTGACTTCATGTAAATGGTTATGTTACATTCCTTTTCTAGAGATTAAGTTCATGATATGATTCATTTAAAAATGAATTTATTGATTCACAGTGACTTTGAAGAAACAGGAACTAAGCATATGTCATACACATACCCCTTTAAGTGGTACATTAGATCAAAGTGGAATTAATATAATAATCTTTAGTGTTTTCAATTGTTACCAACAAAAATAGATCCCACTACAGAAAAGAAGTGTGGTAATGTCAGACGGAGATGTTGAAATCTATGCTTTTTTATCCTTAAAATCAAATAAATGCATGATTACATTCTAGAATCATATCAAGAGTCACTGTCAAGCAATCAGTAAAGATATTTACTGCTTCTGCCAAATACAATATAACAGGCCAGAGGCTATAAATTTTACCTAATTAACTTTTGGTAATGTGGAAATTTTCAATGTTTTTTAAGTCACATTACACATTCTGTTGCTGCTGCTGCTGCTACTACTACTAAAATAATAGTAAACATAAAGGAGTAAATAAAAGAAAATAAATTAGATCTCTTGATCATTCTAAGTATTGTTTTGGTTTATCCTTGAAGTGGAAATCAGTTACCAAGGTTTGGAAAGAAAACAAAAGCATCTTTGTAATTCACTGCATGTATTATTTGAGAGGTCTAATGATTTATCCATTGCCAGTGTGGGTTAGCTTGTCATGTCCTCTTTACTCAATGTCAACCGGTTCCGTAGCTATCAAAGCACTTAGCTGTTTCTGAGCACAGGAGAGGAACAGTTCCAAACTGGACAGGCTCCTTTGGCGGATGACTTGATCAAGCTGTCATTTTTTTTTTTTTAAAGAGAGAGAGAGACAGAAAAAAATACACTTAGTTGGGGGATAAAGAATGTTATGTCATTGAAGGCCACTTGAAAAACCTTTTCAGATGGTGACTTAGAAAATCAAGTAGTGCTTTAAACTCAGAGACAATGTAGTAACTATTTCTGGGCTATTATCTAAGATGAGAAGATAAATCATTACAATTTCATAGTTGATGTTATTCAGTTTTTGAAGAAATACCATAAGTTCAATCAGAATGATTTAAAAATATATAAAATAGTATAAAATTCCAGTTCTTAAGGAATATACAGATCAAACATCCACAAAGATCACTCAAAACACAAAAGAAATATACAGTAGAGAAAAGCAGCATAGTTGCATCATGTATAGGGTTTAATGGGGCAAAGAATAAGGGAGCAATAAACAATTTTCTGAAATTAGAGAAAGTTCTTGGAAAAGGTGTACTTTAAGATTGTTGAAACTTATTTGACTTGTTCTTCCTGCTGAGTTAGAGGTTTTTTCATTAGGATTTTTTAAATGTTTCAATAAAAGTTAATATAGTAAGTAAGAGGTTAATAATGAGTCATCCTACATAATAAAAGGGTAAAATGCAAATTGACCCTAATGGCAGAACGACCAGTCACTATGACGTGCAGTGACTACCATGGGGCAGACACTCAACACAGGAGCTGACCCCTAGTAGTCAGTGCGCTTCCACAGGGGGAGTGCCACTCAGCCAGAAGCTGGCTCATGGCTGGCCAGTGCAGTGGCAGTGGCAGGAGCCTCTCTTGCCTCCGTGGCAGAGCTAAGCCGTTAGTTGGACATCCCCCGAGGGCTCCTGGGCTGCCAGAGGGATGTCTGACTGCCAGCTTAAGCCCGATACCCCCGGGGAGTAGGCCTAAGCTGGCAGGTAGACATCCCCTGAGGGGTTCTGGACTGTGAGAGGGTGCAGGCAGGGCTGAGGGACCCCCGAGTGCATGAATTTTCATGAACTGGGCCTCCAATATATAATAAAGAACTTTCAGAATGTTAAGGATTACTGAATACATCAAGGAAACTTTCTAACTCTTCTTCCCTAAAAAATTTGTTCATGGTGTAAAAATTACTATTAACAACACAATGAAGGGACTCAAAAGAAAGCCAAATAAATTCCATTTCACAATATATACTTGTGATTTTTATGCAAAAGTTAAAATATCCTTCATACAAATTCTTGCCAACATAAAAGACAAATCCAAACAAAAATTCTGTATTAAATTACATTTCTATATTAAAAAATATTAAAAAATGACTGAAAAAAACCAGAAGATTAAAATTTTGAATTATCCTAAGAATTAATATAAAAGAATATTATATGTAGTAAATGCTCATGTAAAATGATTGAACACTCCTAATATTCCCTTAAATGTTAATATTTTGAAAATTTAATATATTTACAGAAATAGGATTCGTGCTTATCCCTTTTCATGATTTTATTTCCTTTTCCTCTGAAATGATACCATTTGGGGAATATACACATTCTGCTTACAAGTGTCTATTAAACAAGCCAGTTCTTTGCATTATAATTCCCAGGTAAATGGAGATCTTGCCTGTCTTGCTGACTAGTGTACTCCAGCATCTAGAAAAGGCATGTTAGACACATAAAATATCTGCCGTGATTGAATCAATCAATACATATTTAAGCCTAATAGAGTAAGGCAATCTACTATGAAATGATAGATGCACTTTTAATCCTTAAAGTGAAACATGCTTGACCTAATCTAAAAGATAGGTAGAAATTAAAGTCTTAAAATTTTTATTTTAATATATGTAAAACAGATTGAAATCTAAATATTTGCAGTTTCAAAAATTATTTTGTACTTGGTCCAAATTCAAATAATAGAGAAGACTGTACCAACAACATCTACTTCCAGTCCACATCCAGTGGTTCCTGTCTACTTTTGGATGTTTTCACACATTTAAGTCTGTTTTTTTAAAACACATGGTCCAGATCTTATAATCGTAACTATGGGAAGAATCATACAATCAGTTAGTTTTATTGTCATTACTGGAAATTTTTCCTATCTCATTCTTAAGAAATTGCTTGACTATCTTCCATGATTTATTTAACTATATTACCACTGACAGACATGTATTTATTTCAATTTTGTCTTGTTTTTAGAGCACTAAAGAAATTTACAACCTGAGTACACTCCCTTCAGAAGATGGTCAAGCATTTGTCTTGGACAGATTCTAAATATGTGGAATTTCTAGGTCATAAGATTTGCATATTTTAAACTGTGATAGATATTTCTAAATTGTTTTTCAGAATGAGGGTACCAATTAATCAGCCCCATCTACGATGTATAAGAGGACCACTTTGCTCTGTTTTCTTCTTTTAAATGCTGGCATAGTTTTTCATTATATATTTATAATTTTACATATATATATATGAATAAAATGAATGTTATTATTTACTTTTAAGTTATTTTATTAATAGACTTTGGATTGTTCCTAATATTTTGCTATTATAGTTAATGCTATACTAAATACCCTTCAACACCGACTTCTGTATATTTATGCTAGCATATCTTGTAGAGGTTGTTTGAGCCAAAGAATATGTCACCTGCAACATTACCTCTATTATAAATCAGGTTTCCAAATCAGAATGAATATGTCTTCGGGCTCCCTATTCAGTTCCCATAGACCAGTGGTTGGCAAACTGCAGCTCGCGAGCCACATGCGGCTCTTTGACCCCTTGAGTGTGGCTCTTCTACAAAATACCATGTGCGGGCGCACATGTACAGTGCGATTGAAACTTCGTGGCCCATGTGCAGAAGTCGGTATTTTGTGGAAGACCCACACCTAAGGGGCCAAAGAGCCTCATGTGGCTCGCGAGCCACAGTTTGCCAACCACTGCCATAGACAATTCACCTACCCCTACAGAAATATATTACTGCACTTTATAATAAATTTTAATATGTCACATCTTAACAACCATACTGACAACCATACCATCAAATATTTCAGATGAATGGAAATTAGTGAACACTTATAATAAAGCATAAAATCCAAGCAAAGTTCAGAAGCAGATTCTTTGGAGAAACTTTTCTCCTTTGGGAGAATATGGCACAGACTCACAATGTGTATGGACCTAGCATTCAACCTGTGATTGTTGCTAAGTAACAATAATCATCTGGATTTATGCATTCAGCATGAATCTGTGATTTTTAAAAATGCAAAAACATGTATAAGGACAAAAAGTTTAAAAGATTTTTATTTAAACATACCAAGCGCTTTTCTCTTGCTTGTGTTAGGGGTCAACCTAACTTAGGACATACTGGTTTTGGGTTAGGCAGCTGCAAGGCTCACTTCACTTCTCTCAACATGCTTCCCTGAAATGTCTGATGGCAAGAATCCACTTAATAAAGAGGAACTCAACCCTTTGAGAAGCAATAAGGTGACACTGGGACTCTGTGACGAGTAAGACAAATTGGGCCATCACAGTGCTGAGCTTCTGATAAGTTGGGTCCTTCCTGGGCACAGTAGGGAAGACTGTCTGTGAGGGGGACACTTGAGACCTTTCTCTTAAACGGTGAATTCCTCTCCCTGAAACAAGTACATCAAACTGATGTTCTTGGCGAATTACTGAATTTCAACAGTTTCTGTTTTATTAGGCATGACCTTATTATCCTTTATTGAGGCAAGAAGAATTTCAGCAAAATATTCAATTCCTTTTGCCCCTCCAAAAGTGGGGCTTAGTTCTGCATTTGTGGCTTTCATTTCAAAGTGAATCAAAGATTTGTATTCTGTGACTTCACATTGGCAGTATCATGCGGAGAGTAGTGGTGGCAAACATTTTTGGGTATGGGTTTACAATCTCGTCTTAATAGTGTAGCTCTAACTGCTTTGTTTTCCCTTCCATTTTCTGTTGCTTCAGCTGCTCTTCAGCTCTTTCAGATACCTGGGGGGAAAAAACTTGGAAATTCTAAAGTCCCTCAAATGGACACTGGAGCTTTATAAATCTTTTTCTCCCCTCTTTATCATCTCTTCAGTTTTCCGGTATCCTGCTGAAAACAATTTGGACGCATACAACTTGCTAAAAGTTAATATTTATAAGCTTAGAGAAAAAAAAAGCACACAAATTCCCAATTATTCCCTATCTTAGATTTATCTTTTCATCAGTATTTCATGTCACAGCAAAAGAAAAAGAAAAACAAAATATCTCTAGACCTTTGCTTTTATTCCCTCATCACCAAAACACAATATGATAGGTGGTAAATTTATACTGATCTAAAGAGCAAAATACAAAATCAATTGTAAATATATAGGACTTATTTTAATGGGACTGTTTATAACACTGTTTACATCCCAAAAAATCTGAAACATTGTTTTTGACTATATATATCTTATTATATGTTATATATACATTTGTAGTACTAATTGTGATTTCAATATCTTTTGGGCATCTACAAAGTACAACAAAATATGTGAAAATATTAGGTTTACCTTTATCAAACTTACTTTTACAACCTATCCTTCTGAAATTTTAAACATGATTAAAAAGTGATATAATTTTTCAAAGAAGCTAGAATGGCTATTTGGCAAATCCATGATAGAAACTGACTCATAAACAAATGTTATCAGCTTAGTAATAATACGTTTTATGGATTCACTAACAAGCTCTTTCATGGGCATTGAAGAAAGGTCAAATATCATGATCCAGAACTATGACTATTTAGACAAATTTTCCAGTTAACGTCATCCTATTGAGTAAAAAAGGATTGTTTACCTTTTGATAAGAAATAAAATAATTCTTCAGTCTCTTATTTATTATAACTGCTATCCTTTGAACATTGCTATTTGGATATGAATGCCTCTTTTTTTCTGACTTTAACATCCTCCCACAAAGGAATACACTCAAGCTGTTGTTTCATTTACATGCTTGATACTGAGACAATCAATTAGTCAATTAGTCAACCAGTTGATCATAACAAAGTCAAGACTGCCACTATTTCTGT